TGACCAGCACCTGCCCCAGCCCCACTCCCTCCCACACTGTGGGGGGGGCCCTTTGCCTCCTCCCACCCCTTCCCCCCCGCTCCCGCCCAACAGATTTACCAGCCAGATGCTGCTCTCCAAGTTGCAGTGCTGCATATCGGCAAGGGGATCAGTATTGGCCGATATGTTTAGTTAATAACTGGCTATTGATATCAGCCTGAAAAATCTTTATTGGTGCAGTCCTACTTTGTTGTGGTAGGCAGTGTTTTGTACTTGATGTGAGGGGCTGGGCCAGACTGGGATAATGCTCTTACTTCTGTCAGTGGAAGCTGCTCAGAAGGGGCATTGAGGGACAGTTTTGCTGCTGGTAGGGTTTGGCTGCACTCCAGGCTTGCTTGTCTGTGGGTCTGAGAGCTGGGTGTGACGGGCACTGTGCTGAGAGAAATTTTAAACTGAAGGGGCTTGCCATGGAAACTCTTCAGCCAGTCACTCTGGCACATGGATAACAGCAACTGAGGCAGCAATCTGGCAGTGGCAGTGAATGGTTATAGCATGGGAAGAGGGGTTAGGGAGCTTGTGTGGTGTGCTCTTTTAAAAAGACGGAGAACTTTGGAAACTCCTGAACTGTGGCTGTGGCCCCTCTTCCTGCAGGGACATCTTCTCCAAAGGGGTAGTCTGCATCCTGTTGGCAGGTGAGGAGGGAATGAAACAGTGCACGAAGTGATACCTGTCTCTGTCTCCAGCAGGTGTTGGCTTTGAGGGTTGAGGTAGTGCTCCCTACCCTGTCTGTTCTGTACATGGGTTTTGCAATACCCCTCTTGCTTCTGTGGGCTGTGTGCTGCTTCTTCCAGCTGGTACACGGTGTTAGCTTCTTGCTGTAAGGCAGGCTTACTATACCTTGAATCACCATCCTTGCAGCTTTCTTTGTTTTTACAAAAAAGAAAAAAAAAAAAGAGAGGTTCTGGAACCTATAATGTCCAGCAATGGTTTTGGTGCTGTATAGAAATGATAGCCCTCCTTAGTTTTATCTGATCTCCCCGGCCTTATGCATTACTTTTTTGGCTGTGTCATCCATCATACAGGCAGCTCATGTTGCTGGTCCAGACAGCTGCAATCCTTTTTAACTTTTCTTCTCTCTAGGATATAGTCCCTCTTTCTATAAATGCATCTTGGTGTCTAGCTGCTTAACTTTGCATTGCTTTCCACTGAGCCCACTTTACCAAGCAGTTCAGATTCCCCGTTTACAAATACTTTCTGACATCTGTTGATCAGTTTTCGTTAGTATAACTAGCATGGATGCTTTGTAGTGCTATTTTTTTTCCAACTGTGTCATGTGACTAAGTTAAAACATGTTAAATTGCCTTTTATCTACCAGTCTTGTTACCTGAAAACAGTTTGACAAGAGCTATCATTCATAGTTATCCTAGTTCTTAGCATTAAGTACTGTCCTTGTAATCCTGTACTGAGTGGCTTTGACATTATTCTGCCCAGGATTGATTTTTATCTTGCTGAATATCTTGTTGCCACCAAGGTAGGGTAGCTTGCCCCTCTTCAAAGTTGAGATAACACCAGTTTCTACTTCTGCATTCCCTGGAGCAATTCCCCAGTGTTCTGAAAGGAACTGAAATCAGTATTGATTGGTACAGACCAGAATAAGCCTCCAGCATTGATGTACAGTGTATGTGAGCCCAGGTTAAAGTCATGAGCTTTGGGCTCCAGCTGATCTGCCTGTGATGAGACTTTGGGACTGGGCTCAGGAGTGTCCTTTGTGGATTCGAGCTTGTTTTGGAATATTAGGCAGTAGGGCTGTGCAAAGCTTCGGGTGCTGATTCAGTTTGGAGGAGATTTGGCCTGATTCAGCGGCCTAATATCTGAATCCGAATCAAATCAGGAGACCACTTAAAAGGTCCGAATCAATTCGAAGCTCTCAGAATTGATTTGGAAAAGATTCGGAGAGCTTCAGAGATTCGGGCAGTACCTGCTTGCTGCCACAGGGAGTTGGACCCGGTCTCTGTGCTGGTAAGTAGGGGGTGGGGGAGTAGGGGCTGGAGGAAGAAGGTGGGGACCATGGGGGGACCCTTGCCAGGCCCC